TAATGTTATTATATACAGCTCAGTGGTCTTTACGGGGCTATGTCGTAGTTGTATTATTGTAATGGTCTGATATGGGTGCTAGAGTCCCGGGATGGTCTGCAACTAGCTCTAGTAGGGCCTACTACAGTCTTTGCTGCTACTGCTAAGCCTGTGTTGGCTTGGAGGCCATAATACCAGAGCTAGTGTACAACCTGCTTACTTTTACCCACAAAACCCGGGGCATAAGCTGGGACCACTTAAGTTGGTACTACAGTTGGATCAGATCTCACCAAACTAGTTCCTCCTTGGTGACGTTCCACGACGGTAGTGTACGTAGCAACGACAGGCCACTCCTAACTGATACCCAGATTACGTACGTTGGAGGCACTGTATCTATAGGCAGGTTAAGCGACGCAGCCGACAAATAAACACTATTACTACCTGCATCGTGACAATTCTATATTTATAAGGGTAATACCCATAGACATAGATAATTCTATGTCTATGTTTATACCACTCCACGCGAGTAACTTTATACTTAACGGTAGTAAATATAAGTACTTACCCAAAGCTATATTTATACAATGCTTAGTACTAGCAGCGAAGTTTGAATACGATCCAACTTTCCGGCCGCGTGCCTGTTGTCGCGAAATCCACTCAAAAATCACATTTCAAATTCGCTACATCGCTGCCAAGCGCATACTCATGCGTTCGTAAGGTCACGGATTCATTTTTGGATGACAGGAGGTCGTACTTGACCTGCTCAAGGAGGCGATGGTGGAGAAGGCCAAGGCTGGCACAAAGGGCTTCCTCATCGATGGTTACCCTAGGGAGGTGGTTCAGGGAGTGAAGTTCGAGGCAGAGGTACGTTACAAACATATGCACGCAGCCACCCACGCACGCACATTCGCAGTTTTTTACCATTGGTTTTATCCCAGAAGTATTCAAACGCGTGAGAGCATCAGTGTGTATGTGCGCGTACGTATGCGTGCGTTACGAAATCGTATGCACGACATTCCATCCTCCAACGCTTTTCCCCGATTCATTCCCTATAAATTCACGATCGTAAATAATGAAGAAATGGCGACGATTCCCCAAAAATAATCCCGCGCCTGTCCGATCTCAAGTGTCTATAACATCGTAATCATTGCGACTATCATCGGCGCGCGTGCCGCAGATCTGCCCGTGCACGGTCGTGCTCTACTACGAGGTGACGGAGGATATCATGAAGCAGCGGCTGAGGCACCGCGGCGAGACGAGCGGACGCGTCGACGACAACGAGGAGACGATCATCAAGCGCCTGAAGACCTTCAACGACCTCACCGTGCCCGTGATGACGCACTACGGAGCAAAGGCACACACCGTGAGTATCGGTGTGGACTAGCTGCTCCACCCCCACCCCATTTTCTCGTCAGCGATTCGCACAAGTATAACCATAGAACATATATTTACACCATAACAAAAATCAACACCATAACCCCTGTCGAACGCGTTATCGGAAAAACGTCACAGACTGACACTCCCGAACGGCGTGAACTCGCTGTCCCATATTTTATCGTCAGCGATTCGCACAAGTATATAGTATAGAGTAACTAATTAGTAGTAAGAGTAAGTAATAATAAATAAAGTAAATAAAAAAATAAATATGAATAAGTAATTAAGTGTAAGATATAAAAGATACAAGATTGTTCGATGGTAAAATGCATTAAATTTATATTGAATATGTCCCCTCAAAGAATCCAGCCAATTCTTTTGAGGAATTCGTAAGAGTGACTTTACGTTACGTATCGCGAATCTTCCAATGTACCACCCTACCCAAGCTATAGTATACCACCCTACCCAAGCTATAGTATACCACCCTACCCAAGCTATAGTATACCATCCTACCCAAGCTATAGTATACCACCCTACCCAAGCTATAGTATACCACCCTACCCAAGCTATAGTATAC